CCGCCCAGGGGAGAAGGCCGGTTTGGGCCAGGGAACCTGCACGGACCTGGGTGTGGCTGTAGGTTCAGCCTCCAGTCCCTCCTGGGTCTCTGGGTGTGTGTGGGGGGTGGGGTTTAGTCCCGGAATCTGGCGAGACAGAGGCCGCCTTGCTGGGCAGGGAGCGGAGCTGGGCCTGGGTAAAGGTGTCGGGCGGGGTGGCTGAGTCAGGTGAACAGGACAAAGGGCTGGAGTGGCTGAGGATCGTCCGTCACCGGTCAATTCCCGGTCAAGGCGCACACCCAGGTTTCGGGTTCGGTTCCCGGTGCAGAAGGCAGCCCATGTTCCTCTCCCTAAAAAAAACAATGAAAACAGGTTTGAAGATAAAATAAAAAGCCTGTCAGGGCTGCTCATTCCCCTCGGATGGAGACCTTGCCCTGAGAGCAGCGCTGAGCCGCTGCCGGCGTACCCACCCCGTCCCTCGCCCCTCGATGCCGGAGGGACCTCCGCCAGGTGCTGTCACTCACAGCAGAGGCACAGCTGGGGTCAGGTTCACGGGCAGCAGGTGCAGAGCTTAATAACAAGAAGGAAAAAAAGCAGAATTAGATCAACAGAGCAACCTCGTCTACATGAGGAATTTAAGCCAGACTCGAACCTGCAGACAAGGCAACAAAGGCCGTTCTCACCTTGGAGGGATTCAAGTTTTTGAATACATATATATATTTAATTGATTTTAGAGAGAGAGGAAAGTGGAGAGAGATAGAAACATCGATCGGCTGCCTCCTGCACGCCCCCTACTGGGGATCGAGTCTGCAACCCTGGCACATGCCCTGACCAGGAATCGAACCTGTGACCTCTTGGTGCATGGGACGACGCTCACCACTGAGCAACACCGGCCGGGCTAGATTCAGGTTCTTGATGACAGATTCAACAACCAAAGCCCCCTGTTTCCCACTAGATTGGAACATGTACACACGGACACACCCCTTCCAGGGAGAAGAGGAAAATGAAGTAAGAATTAAGAGTAGAGCGCGAGGCCATTCAGGCCTGCTCGGGTCATTGTGGGAAAGCGACCGCCCCGATCTGCGGACGGCTGTGGGTTCAGGCCACCGACCGCGTGCAGCTCGCTGTGGTTTGCCGCCTGCATGGGGTGAGACGCGGCATCCAGGGTCCGCCCGGCTCAGCCTCGCAGGGCCCACCGCCCTGACGGGCCCTTCCCGCCGCCACCGCGGGAGTCTGTGTGCGCGTCCTTCCAGGGAACAGTCACAACCGGAGACCTAGCAAGTGAACCGAGGAGGCGTCAGGGAGCCTCGGGTTTGCAGCGGCTGGTCAGGAGCAAGGTGGCCCCTGGACTTGCGGCTGGCATCTGGGGGGCAGTCTTGCGGGGCCGAGCCCCTAGCCTGTGGGATCTGATGGTTTCCGGGTCGACAGTGTCAGATCGCGTTGAACTGTAGGGCACCAGCTGGCGTCACCGAATTGCTCGGTGTGGGGGGGACCTGCACACCGGAATGGGGTGCTGGCTGTGGCCCGCACAGTGGAATGTCACTCCGCCTGAGGAGGAGGGACCCTCCGCCTGCGCCGGGCCGGACGTGAGGACGCTGCGCCGAGCGAATAAGCCAGACCCAGAGGGACGGACCCTGTGGGACCCGCTCAGAGGAGGTCCCTGAGTCAGACCCACAGACAGGAAGTAGGAGGTGGGGCCGGGGATGGGGGAGGGCGGGGGGTGAGTGTTTAATGGGGACAGAGTTTCTGCTGGGAAAGTTCTGGAGATGGTGGTGCTTTGCAGCCTGGGGAGGGGACAGTGAGACCTGCTTCAACTTCCTGTCATAGAGTTAAGCCAGGGATGGGCAAACTTTTTGACTCGAGGGCCACAATGGGTTCTTAAACTGGACCGGAGGCCGGAACAAAAGCATGGATGGAGTGTTTGTGTGAACTAATATAAATTCAAAGTAAACATCATTACATAAAAGGGTACGGTCTTTTTTTTTTTTTAGTTTTATTCATTTCAAACGGGCCGGATCCAGCCGCGGGCCATAGTTTTCCCACGGCTGAGTTAAGCCCTCCCGTAAAGACACACACGGGACCGGGCCAGCCCCGGAGGCTTGCAGGCTGGGAGATGGGGGCGCTCATCGAGGGTGAACCCCACTCACCAGCATTGCTTTGGGGAGCAGGCGGGGGCCCAGGACCCGGTTTCGTAGGCCGGAGGGTGCGTGTTTGGTTGTTCCCAGGACTGTCCACACCTTCCTTTCTCTCCTCATTCAGATGCTCGAGGCGTAGACCCCTCCCCGCCCCTAAGGGACTCTTCCAGGACCGTCATTTGCACCAGTTCTGGTGAAACGCGTGGTTTCTCATGCCTGACCCCCTCATGCCTGTGTGTTTTCCTGGTTATTTTTGTTATTTTGTCGATTCTCACCAGAGGACGTCTTTCCCATTGCTTTTCAGAGAGAGTGGGAGGGAGACGGGGAGAGGGAGAGGGAAACACTGATGTGAGAGAGGCCATCGACTGGTTGCCTCCCACACATGCCCGGCCAGGGGCAGGGAGCGAACCCCCAACCCAGGTACCCAGGGACGTGTCCTTGACCGGGAATCAAACCCTCGACCCTTTGGTGCCCGGCCGACGCTCTAACCACTGAGCCACCGGCCGGGCGTGCCTGTGTATTTTAATTCACGGAACGTGTGGGTGGTCTTTTCACGCAGCACCTTCCTTCCACAGCATCAGCCCTAAGTGGACACTGTGCCTACTGCCCCGGGCTCTCCCAGCCCCACGTCCGCAGGGTAAACCCACAAAGGGTCTGGGGACACCCCACAGGAAGAGGCCCGCGGGGGTGGGGGGCACAGCTCGGCGGGCCTGTCCCCACTCGGGGCGTCGGCCGGTCCCACGGGGGAAAGGGGTTTCCGTCGCCTCCTCCCGAGGACCAGGTCTGAGCACCGCCAGCGCCCGCTCCTGGCCGGCCCTGCTGACCCGCGGACTCGTCTCCACGAGCGAGTCTCCAACTCCGGGCCTCAGGCTCCTTCACACCCTGAGAGGTCACGGCCGAGGACTTGGCGTGCGGGGTCCCCTCCACGGCATTGGCTGCAGCAGGAGGCCAGCAGGAGCGACATTGAAAGACGCCCCCGCCCTGGGGCAGGGGCAGCGAGCCCATGGCACAGGCCGCCTCGCAGCCCGCGGACCACGGCCACGCAACACCAGGAAGCGGGGTGCAATGCCCTGGTCTCGGACCTTCCTCAACGGGGCCCACAGCCCTTGGGGGACAGCGCAACGGCCCAGCGACTCTGAACTCACTTCCGACCCGGAGGCGCCCATTTCCTGAACAAAGACTGTCCCCAGGCGGCCGGTCGGACTCCAGCCTGCAGAGACCTCTCTCTCCCCCTTGCCGCCCCCTCACCCCACTCAGACCCTCAGGGGAGCCCAGCAGCTTTATCAACAGTCACCGTGGCATTCTGAGAGCCAGCATTCAGCACGCAAGGAGCGTATTTTCTATGAAAAGAAATTATTATTTTTATTTATTTATTTTAAAATATATTTTATTGATTTTTTACAGAGAGGAAGGGAGAAGGATAGAGAGATAGAAACATCGATGAGAGAGAAACATCGATCAGCTGCTTCCTGCACACCTCCTATTGGGGATGTGCCCGCAACCCAGGTACATGCCCTTGACCGGAATCGAACCTGGGACCCTTCAGTCCGCAGGCCGACACTCTACCCACTGAGCCAAACCGGTTTGGGCTATTATTATTTTTAAAATATACTTTTATTGGTTTCAGAGAGGAAGGGAGAGGGAGAGAGAGAGAAACATCAATGACGAGAGAGAATCGTCAATCGGCTGCCTCCTGCACGCCCCACACTGGGGATCGAGCCCGCAACCCGGGCCTGTGCCCCGACTGGGAATCGAACCGTGACCTCCTGGTTCATAGGTCGACGCTCAGCCTCTGAGTTGTGCCGGGCGGGCGGGCGGAAAGTTTTTTTTGTTTTTTTTTAAATATATTTTATTGATTTTTTACAGAGAGGAAGGGAGAGAGATAGAGAGTTAGAAACATCGATGAGAGAGAAACATCGATCAGCTGCCTCCTGCACATCTCCTACTGGGGATGTGCAGGAGGAGGCTGATCGATGTTTCTGACTCTCTGCCTCTCTCCCTTCCTCTCTGTAAAAAATCAATAAAAATATATTTAAAAAAAATAAAAAGAAGAAAAAAGGGAAAGCTCTCCCCAGACAGCCGGGCGGCCCTCTGGCCTCTGGGCCAGCTGGACTGGGCGTGGGGCCTGGGCCACTGTGGGGGCGGGAGGCGAGGCATGAGAGCCACGCTGGTGGGGGCGCCACAAAGACAGGCCTGTCCCCAGACAGGCGGGCCTTGTTCCTGCGGCGGTGGCTGCGCAGCTGGCACAGTGGGCACTGGACGGGCAGCTCCACCCTCACCCGGTGCGGACCCTCCTCGCCCGGTCCCCCGTCTGCAGCCCCGCCCCTGGGCGGCGCCACCAGACCCTCGGCCGGCGCAGGCTGCAGCGCAGGGGAGGGGAGTGGTTAGGAACTTGAAACGGGCCCAACTGCACCTGAACCCAGGAAGCAGGTGTAGGTTCTGGGGCTCAGAAGAGATCAGCACCCCAGCCCAGCCCATGCTGGCGACGGGGGAGCCCTGCTGGGTTGGGTGGGCGGGCATCCCTGGGCCAGCAGAGCCCCATTCAGAGCAGTGGAGCCGGGGTGCCCATCCTGCTCTGAGGGAGGGGCTCAGCCTAGCAGGGCGGGTGGGCGTGGCCTGTCGGGTACCTCCCGGTGGTTCCGGACGCGTGGGGTCTGTGGGTTCCAGAGGGCGGGACATCGCCCCATGCTCCCCTTCTCCTCTGGGGGCCATCTCCCTGTCCACAGGGTCCTGCCCAGGCACGGAGGCCAGAATTTCTTTTTAAAAAATATATATTCTTATTGACTTCAGAGAGGAAGAGAGAGGGAGAGAGAGATAGAAACATCCATGATGAGAGAGAATCATGGATCGGCCGCCTCCTGCACGCCCTATATGGGGGATCGAGCCCACAACCTGGGCCTGTGCCCTGGACCGGAATTGAACCCCAGACCCTTCGATTCGCAGGCTGATGCTCCATCCACTGAGCCAACCCAGCCAGGGTGAGGCCAGAGCTTCTTTTCTGGCCTGGAGGGGTCCTTCCTTTCCTGGGGGGAGGCCGTGATGGTCAAGCCTCAGTGGCCCAGATGACCAGACACCTCCAGCCCCTGACCAGCCCGCGGCAGACTGGCCGGGTGAGGCCCGCCCCAGCCACGGGGAGCTTCCCAGACCTGGGACTGGCCCGTCCTGAGGCCCAGCAGCCGGGTCAGCCCGCCCGTCAGCCCCGCCAGGCCCCGCCTGCCCTCTGCGTCCGAGTTCCCCGCAGGCGGAGACCCCTCTGCAGACCCTGACCCGGGTTGCTCCACCAGCTCCTTCAGAACCACGCGGGTCAGGACGCCCTGCGCGCGGACAGGTGCTCGGGCGCCCCGGGCCGCGCGCTGCAGCACGCAGAGTCGCCAGCAGAGGGCGCGCGGCCTCCTCCGAGG